CCAAAATTTCATATTATTATATTAATATATTGGGTTAAAGAATGTGAATTAATTAGGCACACTCTGACAAAGTTAAGGTTATTGCACTCTGCACTAGAGTGGACAGCTAAAATTCTCATAACACCGATTTATGCACAAGTAGTTAATACAGAAATTTTTATATGAAAAAGTAATACCCCAGTATATTGAATACATTAATTCCAAATTTCATCTCAAGAAAAAACAAGAAAAAACTAAAATTCAGTGTTCAAAAAATATTCTTTGTGAATTCAAATTAAATTCAATAATTTCCAGGCTTGCTTTCATAAAATATGTTTCACTTTGTGCACTTCAAATTTAAAACCCACAACTTGAATCAGAAATATTAAATTTAAACAAAATATTTAACTAAATTTAAAGTAAACCAAAGAAATAAAAAATAAAATGTGTTTGGGTGTGGAAAGCAAGTCCACATACAGAGAGTGTGTAAGATACCATTCCACTCTTCTGAGACTAACACGATTTAAAGACTATCTCAACTGTAAACTTGCTTGTTTTGAGGTTATTATTATATTTCAGGTTTTGTTTGACTATTTACCAATTCATTTTTCATACAGAGCCCCATGAAAACCACAAATTGCACTGTTTTTCACCCAAAAGCAATTTAAACCACAAACTTCTGACATGCATACATATGATTTCATATATCATAACCTTTTTGTTTGACAGTTCTTTGCTTCTGTCTACACAAATGCACAAAAAAGACAAAAATGTGAGCCAGCAGGCATGGTGAAAGAATCACGCTACACTTAAAAAAAAAAATAGATAATAACCACGAAACTGATTGTTAATAGTTATCACGGCTTCTTTTATTTTTTCGGATTTATTTTTAAGGAAACCAGAAAACAGTATTATTGACTAACTACTGAAACAGTTTTTTCAAAAATGCCCATACACTGTAGCCCTGCTAATCAGCAGAGTGAAAATATAATAAATCACTGGAGACAAATTTACTTAATAGTTAAAAATTTATCTATGTATAATTGAGTAAATAAAGAAATACCATCAAAATCTTCTAATTGCAGGAGGTTCAGGGTAAAATAGAAAGAAGAGCAAAATAATTATTTCAACTCTTGTCATCTTTTTCGCAAAATGTAATGTAACTATTCTTTTACTGAATCTTATTTGACGCTGTATTCATTTATAGTGACAAGCTCATTACATACCACAAAAAATACACACACATAAGGATATGAATTATGCACATACTAAGGATTAATAATAATCTGAATCCTTCACTATGGTTCTCAGTCCTTTAGTAAATACTGGCAAAACTTTGCATTTTTAATCAGAAGCATAGCATAGTCAAGCCAGCTTTTTTAGTCAACTGCACCTTCAAAATGTCTCCATGTCTTTGTTTTCCAGAGCAATTTGAGCCAATAGTAAACTCTCATCTGGTGAAATTAACCAGCAGCCAGCTTTTAGCTACATCTCTGATTTTATGCAGCTCTATTTATTCACTTGTCATCAACTTCTCTAAGGGGGGCCTGTGTAGATGGATTAGGGGACTATGCTAATATCAAAGTGTACAAGCTACTTCCTTCTTTCCCCTCAATTTGTTCAAAACAAAGTCCAACAAGGAGGGATTTCATGTAAAATACCACACATATTTTCCAATTTGTTGCAAAGGTACCATCAGAAGATTCTCTACCACACAGACCAGCTCAACACTTACTCCCCAATTATCAAAGCCAATGAAAGGTACATTAGAGCAAAGGTCTCCAACTGGGGCAAGGCTTTACATTCAGTTCAACTACATTAGTACAATTAGGGATACAAAGTTAAAATGACACTGGGATAATAACAACTTGGCATTTACATCTGCATGTCAAATGTCATTGTTCAAAACTATATATCTCAAAATTTCTTGGCTTTCAAGATTATTAAGAAGACATGATTTGAAATAAATAAAACATTATGCCACCACAGGATCTTAGATTCACAATAAACAAATAGTCATACCCAACATGCTTGAGAAGAAAACACATAATCAGCTTTGAAAGACAGATCTTTTAAATGACTGCTTTAAAAATAAATGTGGAGATCACTTGATTATTCACCCCAAGAAAAAAGTCTAAAATTAAGAGTATTCAAACTCGTCCTGTACTTGATATCAAATATTTTATCTTTAAACATTAAGACAGTTTTCTTTTACAATTCAGCTGTTTCTACAAAGTTCCTTTTTTGACAACATATGTTGTGATTCAGCCAAAACCATAAATGCAATACCTATTTTTGGTGTTGCTGGTTTTGCTGCTCAGACAGAATTTAATATATATGAAAAGTGGACCTCAAGAATAAATATTAAACAAAGTAGAGCAAGTAATTTTAAACTAACATCTTTGGTGTATTTTAGTGTTCCTGGTCTCGCATATTTAGTTTTCGATGACAGTAAACAATAAAAACCAAAAACATAATCATTTTACGTTTGTAAAATAGTATCTCAAGCATACAGGAAATTGTCGATCCATAATGTCGACGTTCCGAAGAAACGATCGAAGTAACAATAGACCAATATCAATGAAGAATCCGATGAACTATTTAATCTCACATCAACTTTCGATCGATATTTCGTGTTGTTGATATACGGTAAGTTTCAGGTTTTGTAAGGCAATTTGTAATTTATAATTCCACGCTTTCACACGCATTGCAAACTGAGTAACACCGGGGTAACAGAAAAAAATCGAATTGAAGGAAACTTTCCAACGTAACAGCCATCAAAACACATAAGCAATACTGCAGACCATTCTTAAGTTTTGGCGATAATCATATGATGTCAGATCGTAGTGTACAAGACATCATTCATTTCACACACATCGAATTTCAATCGAATTAATGCTTACTACAAAAAAATACATATCACTGACCTTAGTTTGTTCATCTACAACTCGCAAGCAATCCGCCGTAACAAGAAGTTGCATTCGTTTCTTCTTCGCAGTGCCAACCTAGAGAGAGGAATTAACAGGCCTTGTCAGATCGACACGAAAGTTATCAATCCAACGACTTGGTAATATCTGTCTATAACTAACGTAAGAGCAAAGATGCGATACGGTATAAAAAGATGTGAAGTGATAGCAAAGACTTTAGAGGAAGACCCCGTTTCAGACTGTTATATTTAGAACGGAAATCAAAGAAGTTCATGTAGAAAGCTTACCTCTTTCATCTTACGAAAAGCCTCGGCACAAACTTGGGTTCCTCTTGATTCAGTTACTTCTATTGCTCCTACATACTAAAGCAATTGCACGTTCTCAAATTAATCGAAAATCTGGATTTACTCACTTGTATACTTTCTGTCGTCATTTATAGCAAGTTCATAACCAACAAATGCCAGTAAAAGTCTCTTTATTTAGAAAGACTTACCTTAACCGGAAAACTAACTCCTCCATTGCGAACTTTGTAGCTGTCGTTTTCCCAGATTTGCGGTCTTACGCTTTCTGGTATGTGCCTTTTTGAGCTTCTTAGACTTAAGCTTCGTTTTAACCTGTTCATAATTGGAAAGTTCTTCAAAATCTCGAGAGAACCGAAATAAAGAGAACAACAAATCCCCGACACATTCACAAATGCATTTGTTCAAAAGTTATTAGCTTACGAACGGTGTATGAACCGGTCAATACACGCATGCTCAGAGGCCTATTGCGTAATGTATTCAAAACTACTCAGGCGGATTCCTGACCTGGGAGAGGGCATGATCTCAGGTTAGCAACTTCCGATCTACATCATGCAATCTGTAAGAACGAACTAAATAGATACCTTTCTTTTCTTTTCTAGAATAAAATGTTATTGTCGCTCTTCAAAATGTAGCTGAGATCGGGGGGGGGGGGGGGCACTCAAAGGAAGTCTGGGTAGGGCTGTGCCGCCATGGCCTTCAAACCTGGGAGGACTCCGCATAGGAAAGGGGTCGGGATGCTCGTCGTCTCGCTTAGGGGTGTAAATTTCGGCATGGTCTCTTTTAGGGGTCAAAAAAAACTTGGGTGGTTGGGCCACACCCAGATCGGTCTCCTTAAGGGGTTTAATTCAAAATTTCCGACGAGCATCCCCACCCCTTTCATATGCGGAGTCCCCCCGGGCTTCAAACCCTGTTTAAGACAAAAATCGCTCATTTCGCTACTCTGTTTAAGACAGGAGACACTACTTTCTGACCCTGACTTGTTTTGTTTTGCATACCGGTTTAAGTAATTTTTCAAACTAAAATCGTGGAAATGGATATTTCGGAAAAAAAAATTATTGGTATTGCAAGTGTAGACCGCTCATCGCAAGTCTTCACACTCTTTGAAATGCTTCCAGTCCAAAAAGACACCCTGTTCAAGACACTTAATGGTGAAATTATACACCCTGTTTAAGACTCAAGACCTTTGCCAAACCCTGTTCAGCAGCGTATACCCGCATAGGCCAAATAAGGTAGTGCCAAGCCCGGGACTGAGATCAGGCCAAACTTTAGCAGCTCTCATAAATTGTTTCCAATGGGTCGCCGCTATAAAGGTTCAAGGAATTTTTAAAAACACGACGAGATGTCTCAACCTCCTCCCCAGTGAGAAGACCTTGTGGACGAGGTTGGATGTCTAAGAAGACAGAAAAGCTAAAACAATGCGTATTTTTTTCTAACTTTTCAAACAATACTCGGCTGGCAAGACCAACCCTCTTCAGGTTTACAGGTTTTTTTTTTTACATGTAAATGGAATTGCGATATTATATAGATGGAGAATGTCGCAATAAAAATTGTCTTTCGGTGAACAAACATGCTAAAGGGAAAAAATCTGGTTCCAGCAGCTAATTGACTGTTAAAACTGTTAACTTTGCTGATTTTTGGCTAGTTTAGCAGACGATTCGTAGATTTGTATCAGGCTTTCTTATCTTTTCTTAGTTAAACGTAAATAGGCGTGATCTGAGGTTACTTAAAATATGCAGAAGTTGCGAGAAAAAATGATGTCATCTTTGCTTGATTTGCGTGATAAGAATCAGAAAGCTTTGCGACCAACCCTTTCTCTGAAATTTAGGAATCAAGAGACTAAAAATTGAAGGCGACTGATTCCTGATTTGCAGGAAACTATATTCAGAATCAGACATACACTTAATAACTATCGTCGGCCATCGTCGTACGCGTTCGGACGGGATTCGTAATCGACAATTTCTATCTCGCGCCTGCAGTATGTCAGAAGCTTCTCGGCCCTGCAACAACAGTAAAATCCTAACGATAGCGTTGTTGAAAAGGTTTCCTGTTCGATATAAGCACCTCATGTTGTAAATTATAGGATGTGTAAAGTCTTCGTGGACCTCGTGGCGAAAGCCTGTGATGCGGAGAGAAAACTATGGTGATGTAAACAAGTTCTGAATTTCCGCATTCGGTTTGCATTTAATTTTGTACTCGATTGTGCACGGAATTCTGCGTGCAATTACGACAGGGACTATCATTTTGAGTCAGTAATGGCAAGTTTTGATTCTCCAGATTCAAATGGTAGGTATTAAAACTTCAAACAAGAATACTATTTATACATCATAGTCTGAAACAAAAATCTAATTAACGAGTATTAAATTTAAGTTTAGATCATTGCACGTCCCTGTTTTACTCTGACTGTGAAGCTAATAAGCTTAGAATGGAAGAATTTATAGCTTTTGTTGAAGGCTGGATTTAGGTCATCCTTTGCCAGCTCAGCTGCAAAGGAGTTTTTGTTACTTGCATATATTTACAAGAAAACCCCGCGAAGACAATGGCTCACTGTCAGTTAATGTAAACATCATTGGCCCAGTCAATGGCCTTAAGCATAATTATGTCGGGCGAGTAAATTTCACCGCCAACAGGCCTTGCTTTGTATGCAGAATTCTTCGCATTTGCACTCATTGTGTGTGGGTATTCTTTTCAACTGTACTTTCTGCCTTGGAAATTCATATACTGTATGCAAAACTTCACAACTTTACAATTTCTCAAACAGGCTTGGTGGTGTAATTTGCTTGTCTAAACATGCATAAGTCCTATTCCAGGTGTGCCTAGCCACCATCCGTCCCCCCCCCCCCACCCCCCACCCCCCCTTCGGGCATATTTCAAGTCGTGTCTTCCTATGCATATGCACACGTCATCAACAAGGGGAATCCAATATGTCCAGGAATATTAGGGGATGGATTGGATTCTCTTCCTCTGGGAAGGGGAAAACTACAAACATTGTTTTAAGTTCAAAGAAAAGGGAAGGACGAATTCAAAATTTTGTAAAACAACAGACGGCAACCATGTGGATGTTACAGGGATTCTTGCTTTCCCAGCCAATAGACTACGGCTACCAATAAAGTTGCTATTGCTATCACTTTTTTCTGCTTTTCTCTCTAGTGATTTCTCTTTAAAAAGTCGCAGAAACGTTAGATAAACCCAGCATATTTTACCAAGAGCTCTGCTTTTGGGTTTGCCTAATTATGTATCCTACAGTGTGAGTAGATCGACAGCCATGAACTGTGTAAAGCTTTTTGTTTCCTTGTTGAAAGTGAACTCTTATGACATTGCATTTTTTGTCTAATTATTATTCAAAGTTGGGTCCACGGCAAACCTACCAAAACACCCATTGAGAAGGTTTGAACCAGCTCTGCGTAAATTTCAAGTTGCCCTTCCAGCAGATCTTGCAAGACTGCAACTGCACAAACTCAACATGGAAAAGGCAAGTCTGTTGAATCTGCAATTATACTAAGAATTAAAGTATAAATGTAAATTAGGTTCCCTCACTGACTATCTTTGTTTATTTTTTTTTTTCTTTAAATTGATGTTCTTGCTTGGGCCCCTCTTACTCGTATTTTTCATGCTTGTTCAGTCCAAGCAAAGTCCTTCACACAGCTCACATTACTTTACTGGCAGATGCAGAATACTAAATTAACCCGCAAGATGTTTTCCTCTTTTTTGAAGTAACATATCATAGGTTATTGACAAACATTACAATACATTTTGTCTGTTAGATTCTGTTGAGTGGTTGGTGTTTTCCTAAAAAAGTTTGTTGCAGTGTTTTATAGTGTTAATTGTTTGGTAATTGTTTGGTAATTGACTGATTATTTTATACAGATTTTTTTTACTTCCCTTTATAGTATTATCGATCAGAAGCTTGGTTTGAACTTAATAAGGAACAAATTAATGCTGCAAGAACAGTCCAGGTAATAGTTTTCAGGCATTTAATGTTATTTGGAGATTTAATTATTAATTTATGTCTACGTATTTTTTTCTTAACAGCAACTGAAATCTCATATGAAAGAGATAGAGAGCACAAGAAATCAAATACAATCCTCAGACTTAGCACTATTTGATGAGCGAATCAAGCCAATACAGGATGAAGTGCGAGCTGGGGTTGACTCATTTAGAGAAGTTCAGCAGATGTATACACAACAGAAAAAGCACAAAGAGCCAAAAAGAATGCCTTTTGCCAAAAAAAGAAGTCCTGGTATGAATAATCATTAGCTTTTTTTCTTTTAGGGGGGTTTAATCTGGGGCTAATG